GACAAAACGAGCCCACTGGGCGAAAGCCTAATGGTATTTCCTACATAGCACCATTAAAGGTGAGTCCAAAGTGATATTGCCTATGTGGCATCACCCATAACACACATCAAGGTATCCCAGAACACACAACAAGGTATCCCAGAACACACAACAAGGCACAAACTAAAGAACACATAACATTAGTCGTGGTCATAAGTGATTTACCATCTATTAGCGGGCCTACTTCGATTCAAGCATATATCATGCAATTAAGCACCTCAAGCCACACAGGACATCTGAACATTCAATCAAAACGAATGGGAACATACATATGATCATATCATAACATTTATCATATAATGTGTCTTTAACATGTTAAGCATACACGTCATACACGTCCATAATGAACATACAAATTATTATCACATAATATATTTTGTCACCAACATGGATTAATCATACATAACATTTACGTGCGTTTAAAGAGCATACAAGTGTTCCTATCATGATCCCTACATGGACTCTAAATAAGAGGTAAAGGCATAAATTTAATCCATAACCATGTAGAGGATCGAACAAGCTTCATAATGCCTTAAAACGGGCTTTATTTCTAGTTTCAAACTAAAGTTACACAAACATTAGTGTTACAAAAATTTGCTATCCAGGGTAGTTCGCTAAGCGAGCTGTAGCGAGCCGGTAGCAAACCAAGTCAGTAGCTTCTCAATGTCCTAAAAGGAAAGGTTTACTAAGCCAACCTTTAGTGAAGCCCCGACTCGCCAAGAGAAGTCGTAGCGAATAATTACTTATTTTATTTTCCTCTAGTCCCAGACTTTCACAAAGCGAACTCCATAGAGAGTGCTACTTCACTAAGCGAATCATAGTTCGCTAAGTGAACTATGATGCGCAGGGAAAAACCAGAAAATGCAGATTTTGATCTTGGGTCTCCAAAGCCCAAGATTCCACATGCAATCTAGTATGAGCAATACATATAACGAAATAAAAGTGTATATACATTTTATTATGACATTAGGGTCAAAATCATGCATCATCAAGAGCTAGAAGCACATATCTATTTAACCTTATTTCCACATAAACCCAAATACTCTAAGTTTCTATTCTAGAGACTCACCTAAAAATTTGGTGATGAAGAAGCTGCAAATTAGAACAAGAAGGATGATGAACTAAGGGATATGGTATGATATTGGGACATGCAAGGTTGAAGAAGGCTTGAGAAACTTTCTCCTCCTCGTATTCTTCTCACGTTTCCCTTCCTCTCTTCCACTCCAATTTTGTTTTGTTTGATACAATACCAAAATGATATTCACACCAACATCCCCTTAAGTTTTCATTTGATTGGAAAATACCAATTTATCCTTCAACTATATTGTAATGACTAAGATACCCCTTGTTCAATTCCAACTAAATAAGAATTTATACTTCATAATTTTTTATCCATATCAACATTGTGAACTCACATATGTCATTTGATCAAATTTGGACCATAATTCCTCAAGAAATTGGATCAGATCATCAAAAGGGAAAAATGGTCAAAATTAGGGTTATGACTGAAAGGGCAATTTCTGATTTTTGACCTAGAAAATGGTTATTTTGTTTGAGACATGATCTCAAGGTTTCAAATGTATCATTTTGACCCAATGGTATGACTCAAAACATTGCTCAAGGTCATTTGTTTGATAGTTGATTTTCAATCAACTGATCAAAAGTCAATTGTACACTGAAAAGTCAAACTTTGACTTTTTGGTTAAAATCAAGTGTCAAAGATCACAATTCATCAAAACATGTCAAAACATGAAACTTGTTCATCAAGAAATCAAAAAGTCAATATTTTATTTTGAAAAGTCAAAATTTCCAAACTTAGGAATTTTTTTAAGTGTTGAAAACTTCGTATTTTTTTCACAACTTTGAGCCAATTTTTCACCATGATGCAAGATGATTCAAAGGAAACTTTCAACATGAAAGTTTTAGATCTCAATGAGATCTAAAATATTTATTTACACAACTTCTCCTATAAATGCATGTATTTCAAGTTATGATTTTGTGAATACATGTTCATGAAACTTGAAAACTTAGTGAAATTTTGCCCTAGTTTAGGCAGGATTTTGACCTAACTTCATGGAAACTTTTCACATAGTTACAAGGGGAATTTTCCAAAGTGATTCAAACAGGGATTGTAGAGTACATTACAAGCTTTCTAAAATGTCCAAGAACTCCTTGAGATCATGTTTGAGCAAGTAGAATCGAAGGCATGAAGTTGGCATTTCATTCTTGAATTATAGGTCATTTTAATGATGAACAAGAATTCAAATTCATGCTAGGATGCACAATCTTTGCTTTGCAGGCCTCAAACTTGCTTGGCACTCCATAATTAATGTTTGGCACAACTGTTAGAGGCTTCAACTCAAGCATTCAATGCATTGCCCCTGCTTAATGCCATTTTGGGAAAAAAGTGCACATTGCCATTTTGGAAAAGTAGCTTTTATGCACAAAATCAGTTCTGGAGGTTTGCAATTGTTTTCTTCTGATCACACACAACTATCACCCAAAAGAAACTTGTATAAAGCTTCTAACAACTCAGCCCATGCTTTTACTTCACCTTGAAACTATATTTCCACTTTTCTTCAAAATCAAGTAAGATAGTCATAACTCTATATCTTGCACTTCTGACCATCTCAAGTGATATAACCTTTTCCTTACTTATACACAAGTTGTTTGCATCAAAACACACGAATAGACAAGCTCAAAAAACACATATGAACATCGAACTGCATCTCAGACTTCCATTGTTGCATATTCTGGCCAGAAATCCCAAAATCAAAAACTACTCGTGCGTTTTGTGGCATTTTGCTTCCAAAAGCTTCCAAACATCATACATAAGCCATCCTTGTCCCTGTTACATGACTATAACACCATATTCACCCATTTCCAAGTTCAAAAACAAAGCATCACAATTGGACTTCTCCATACCATTCCAGCCACCTTCAGCTCAAGCCAGCCATTGCATTAGCTTCCTAGAGGTCCAAGGAAGCTAACATGATCATCCCATCACTTGAAACAAGCTCAAACTCATTTCACGATTTCCAGTTTTGAGGTATCACTACGCCAAAAATGATTTTTTGTATCACCTAATTTAATAGCACTTTTAAAAAAATGCTATTAAAATGGAAAAAACACATTTATAATAGCACTTTTTAATCGGGCGCTATTATATAATACAGACTATGTAATTTTGATAGCACTTTGTACCAGAACGCTATTATTAAACTTCTTTAAGATAACATTTTGTATAAAACGCTATTATTTGACTACCTATATAATAGCATTTATTAAAAAGCGCTATGTTATATATAATAATGAATTAATTAATTAATTGATAAAAAAAAACAAAACAAATTTTCAGAAAATTGGGTGTTGGTGCTATTTAAGAAAACTTTATGGGTGATTTTGACAGTTGCACGTCCAAACAACAAGACTGGAGACACCTCCTTGTCAATCGTCTCTGAGCTTTCCGATCTCCGCCGCTCTCAATCCGTGTCACTCCCGGTAAGTCATCCACCACCGTTCTCCGTTCTTTTCTCTTCTCTATAGCTTTGCCCCACTTGTATCAATCTCATTATCTCTTCTGGTTTGCCCGCAAAGTGTTTGATAAATGTTCTGACCATGGTTTTCTATCAACCTTAGAGAAAGAGGAATCATCAATAACACTATTCATTCTCCTCTAATAGTTTCCCTTTCAAATTGCTTATTTCTTTTAGGGAATAGTATTATGATAATTTGCTTACAAGCACCCAAGGAGTTCAACAAAGAGTGAAGGTTGGACCACAGTATGGTCCAAACCTGATAATATATGTCTTTATACTGTCAGTTCTGGTAGTGGTGTTTGTGGATACAATAGCTTCTGCACTTTGGGACAGGATAAGAGACCAACGTGTCAGTGTCCAAAAAGTTACTCTCTAGTTAATCCTGATGATCCATATGGTAGCTGCAAGCCAGATTTTATACAAGGATGTGAAGAAGATGAACTGAGTAAAAGAAAGGATCTCTATGACTTTGAGGTTTTGATTAACACTGATTGGCCTTTCTCAGATTCTGTGCTTCAAAGGCCTTTTACTGAAGAACTGTGTAAAGAAGCTTGTATGGGAGATTGCATGTGTTCTGTGGCTATTTTCAGGTTAGGTGATAGTTGTTGGATGAAGAAGTTACCACTCTCAAATGGGAAAGTTGATCCAACACTTAATGGTGCTAAGGCTTTCTTGAAAGTGAGAAAAGATAATACCTCCCTCCAGTCCTTTGATTTTCCTCCATTTCCAATCATTGCGAACAAGAATAATAATAGGGAAACGTTGGTTTTGGTTGTTTCTGTGCTTTTTGGTAGCTCTGCTATTCTCAATGTTGTATTGCTTGTAGAAATATGTTTCAGCACCTCCATGATTGTTCAGTCAAAGAAGAAGCTTAGAAGAGTTAGCAGAAGTGAAACTAGTGTTGAAACTAATTTGCGTTGCTTCACTTACGAAGAGCTTGAAGAAGCTACTAATGGATTTGACAAAGAGATAGGAAGGGGAGCTTTTGGTATAGTTTATGAAGGAGTCGTCAACAACAACACATGTTCCGAAACTCGTGTGGCTGTGAAAAAGTTGAACAATTTTTTGTTGGATCAAGCTCATAGAGAATTCAGGAATGAACTGAATGTCATTGGTCTCACTCATCATAAGAACTTAGTTCGTTTACTTGGATTTTGTGAGGGTGGAAGTGAAAGATTGCTTGTTTATGAGTACATGAGCAATGGCACTTTGGCAAGTTTACTTTTCAATGCTGATGAGAAATAGAAACCAAGTTGGAAACTAAGGCTTGAACTTGCAATAGGAATAGCAAGGGGACTTGTGTATTTACATGAAGAGTGCATTACTAGGATCATCCACTGTGACATAAAGCCTCAAAATATACTTCTTGATGATTACTTCAATGCAAGAATTTCTGACTTTGGACTAGCCAAGTTGATGAACATGAATCAAAGCAAAACCAACACTGGCATTAGGGGAACAAAAGGGTATGCTGCACTTGAATTGTTTAAGAACATGCCTATCACAGCTCAAGTGGATGTGTATAGTTATGGAGTAGTGCTACTTGAGATTATTTCATGTAGAAGATGTGTTCAAGAAATGGAACAAGAAGATGAAGAGAAAGCAATATTAACTGATTGGGCTTATGATTGCTACAAGGATGGTGCTGTAGATGCATTGGTTGAGGGTGACAATGAGGCATTGGATGACAAAGAAAAGTTGGAGAAATTGGTAATGATTGCAATTTGGTGTGTTCAAGAGGACCCAGTTCTTAGACCAAGCATGAGAAATGTGATACATATGCTTGAAGGTATTGTTGAAGTGCAAGTTCCACCATACCCCTCACAAATTAGTATTCAATATTCTCTAATTTAATAACTTGGTTTGCAAGATTTGCAGATTGTGCTAATCCTTGTTTTATTGTTTTAATTGAAACTGTAAAATTTGAATTTATGTCTCTGTATCAAGCTGTGGTTTTTTGTTCCTTGAACAGTAGTATTTGAGGTTCAAGATTGATTAGTTTACTGGGTATGAATAAACTTGATTACCCAGTTGTCTTGGATAATGTTAGTTTAATTATAAATTATCATATGTTTTCTACAAAATAAAATGCAACGTTAAATAGTTTACATATTATGATTAATCTAATTATATTTTACTAGATAGATTGCATTTCAAATCAATTTCCAGTTTGTGTGTTTGTACAATATTATGATTAATCTAATTATATTTTACTAGATAAAATGCATTTAAAAACAAACTTTCTGTACAAAATTATATTTTATTGGTTTAGAAGATATGGCACAGAAGATATTGTACTGTACTTATTAAAAATATTGTACCAAATATGTACCATTTATTAGCACTTTATTTGAAAGCGCTATCAAAGATATGTTATATATTAGCGCTTTTTGTTTAGAGTGCTATAAAAAAACAAACAAAAAACATGCAAAATACTGACTTTGATAGCACTTTAATTAAAACGCTATTATAAATTGGTACTTTAATAGCGCTTTTAAAGTGCTATTAAATAAGAAATATTTACAATAGTGGCGCGGTTAATAGCACTTTTAAGTGCTATCAAAAACAAAAAAAAGCGCTATTAAATAGCTTATTTGGCGTAGTGTATTTTTCTTGAATTTATGTCTCATTATTTAGGATTTGTTAGGCTTGCATTTATGAAGATAGAATGTAGATATCATTTCCCTGAAACTATACATGTCCATAGATTTCATTTATGTTTCTTGAGCATGGAGAATTTTGAGTTTAAACTTGCTGAAACATTTAGGTCAGAATTTGGTACTTTCATAAATCCATCCTTATCTTTAAATGTTAGCTTAAATTAGTTACATGGTTGGATTCGTGGTGAAAAAATACACAAGTTTCATGTTTACATTTTTGAAAATGGTTGAAGAATGAGCAAGTTACAAATCCTTTGGCTGGAGGTTGAAAGTGAAGTACAGTCAGCGTGCTGGTAACCAAGAGGGCGTGGGTTCAACACCCAATGCGCTACCTTTTTTTTCATTTTTCACATTTTCATACTTTTTTTGTCACAAACACACACGCCTGGGCCTTAATACAGTGGGCCTTGGTATTTTGCTGGCTTCAGCACCCCTGGCCTTGCTTCAGCACCCCCTGGTCATTTATTTCTTTATTTTATTTTATTTTATTTTTATCTTTTAGTTTATTTCACTTTCATATTTTTATTTTATTATTTTTATTATTAATATTATTATTAGTATTAATAAAAAAATCCAAAAATATTTATTTTATTATTTTACACTCATTTTTATTTTATTTCTCTTTATAAAAATTAAAAAAAGAACAAAAACAATTTTCTTAGCAAATTAATTTCTCTTTTTTTATGAATTAATATTTAGGCTTACGATTAATGACTACATTATTTTCTTTTCTTAAATAAAATTAATTTAGAACTTAGTTATTTTAATTAATTAATTTTCCTATTATTTTTATTATTCAAAGCCTTTTCATGAAAAACCCTAAAAAATCATTTTTAACTTAATATTCTTTGTTAATTAATTTAGGTTTTAATTTTAGTTAATTTCCATTAATTATTTTCTTAATTAGGTCAAGATTAAAATCCTTTCATAAAAATCCAAACAAAATCATTTCTTTTCCCATTTACATTCTTGCAATTTTATTTTTAATTTTGTACAATATTCAATTTGGTTGTAATAATTATTTAGATTTAATTTTCTTGCAATTTCCCCATTTGTAAATTTGTTCACCCCCCTCCCCTATTGATGTAATAGCTTAGTATTTTTATTTTCTGCAATTTAATGCTTTATATATAAATGCTAGTAAATTAGGGTTTGTATGGAAAGATAAAATCAATGCTTAAAAAACCCTAATTCAAAGATAAAATAATGCATGTAAATCAATACACTTGCACACTTACACCCTTAGGGTAAATCCACTTGTTGCCTTATAAAAAATGGTCATGATACGCATGTAAGATGTCTTAGCAAAAACAAACAAAATACAAGATCATAGTCCCTCAATGACGCTACCAATGTTGCCTTTCAAAATGATCTTAGTCCCTCAAAGAGAATTGCTAAGATATCTCACAACATTGCTATCATGGCTATACGATGACCCATGCCTGTCCCTTTACATCCAAATATAGATTTTCTTACCAAATCAATGGTAAGATAACAATGTTAAAGGAAAGAGGAAATAAACAAGAAAGACTTTTGAGTAGGTAGAATGTTCCTAGTTGCTTGCTCATTTTCAAAACAAAACATCCTTGCTATTTAAAAAAAAAAACACCAACACTTTCAAAACACCTTTCAAACTTGAAACATTTGCAAAAGATCAACACTTTATATACATTCTTATGAACGAGAATCATTACAAAGTTTGCCTAAACGATGACGCCTTTTCAAAATACTTTCAAAAATCACACAAAGCACATTTTCAAACAAAAGCAAGTGATCTAGCAAGCAACTAAGAGCCCGTAGATAACTACGGATGAAAAGGATGCTAATACCTTCCCTTTTCATAATCTACCCCCCGAACTCAAGAAAACATCTCAAAAGGTCTTTCCTGTTCTTTTCCAACTTTCCTTTTGGATAAAAGAAATGTCGGTGGTGACTCTTGCTAACCGCAACATTTTGTGATCGAACGCAAAACAACCAAATTAGTTCTCCCACCGCGTTACAGAACTGGCGACTCTGCTGGTGAATTATTTTAAAAGTGGGGTTATCTTAGGGCTAGATCACATTTACTTGCTTTATTTGTTTGACTTATATGCTATACATTATGGTTCCTTGTTTAGGCTTGCTTTGATCCTCCACCCGGATCTGGGACACCTTGTCAGGTAAGTAGTAATAGATTATGGAAATTGTACGGTGTAGACCGATATGGTTGAAACAATAGCTACGTTAGTGTGACGCGTTTGTGGGTACGAGTATCCCTTGTGTTGAATCGAGGAGAATACGAGGCCGTTGAGTGGCGTCATGAAGCATTAAATGACTTTAGAACCTTAATTCAACAAACTTGGCCAATTAGGACGTAGTGAGATAACCGGTTTCGGTGGAAAGCTAAATATTGGTTGATACTCGATACTACACTCATTGAGACTATACTTTTGGGATATCCCGGCCGCAAGAAAAGATTGATTGTGCTAGGACAATGCCTAAAATAAAGGTCAGTGATATTGAGATCCCTTAGAACCCAGTTACTATTAACTAGGATAGGTTTGGGCCAACTAAACTTCAAGAGGGTACTTACCTACAAACTCCATACAAGCCTAAGCCTAAGGATTTGTTTTTGCCTTGTGTGTATATGTTACTAGTACATAACATCATGAACATCATACGCAATCTCACTAACCATTTCAAGGATTTAGGAATTTATCTTTGTTTTTGTTTTGTAGGCCATGAACTTCGTCCGAAGAAATACCATTTGAATCAGCTTCGTGAAAGCACACCCTCAGCTCTAAGAGTTAGCATCAAGGGTGCCCAAATATTCTCCTTTTAACAAGAAATATGGACGACTCCTCAGTTTGGCTACCTTCAATTTCCAAGAGGATGTGATGTGTGTGATATTTGAATTATTTGATCCCATACAACATTGCTTCACCATTACAACCCAAATGCTCTTTGTGCTTACCATTTAGAAAGTCCATGTCATGATACGAACGACTGATGGGTTTTGAAAAACAAGGTGCAAGACCTTCTCGAGGCAAAAGAAATTGAGTTTGATGCTCCTGAGATCCCAAATTTTATCACCTCTCTTATGCCCAAGCACTGCCGTGATGTTAACGCTGTTGAAGATGATGTGTTTGTTACTGTTGTTGATGAACTTGTTACACCTCTCCTGACCATCAAAAGGAACCAGTTGAAGGCCGGTTTAATTTCGGGTTGTGGCGAAGACTGCCACCTCTGTTTATCCCTACCAACTTGTTGTCATTTATTGAAAGCAGGTGTCCAGCGCATGATGGATGACAAAGAGATTTTGTTTGGAAAGACTCTCGTTCCAAACATTTCTTACAAGGATGTTTCAATAGTAACCATTTCCACCAATCCTCCTAGGGTCTCCACCAAAAGACCTGTTAGGATTACATTTGTTCTGAAAGTTACTCCACTGATAATTACTATGCCAGGTCCAATCCCGTACTCCTCAGATAAAACTGTCCCCTGGAACTATGGGGGTGACGTCTACTACCACGACGTCAAGCAAGATTGGCTGGATGATGAAGACTCGATTTTTGAGAGGGCTGACCCCGACATTAGCAACATTGTGGGAACCAGAAAAATAATCAGAAAAATAACCAGAAGTGGGAGAGTGTTCTCCCCTGAGATTGCTCCTCCGAAAACTGTTACCGGTCCTGTAATCATCCTTGCTTTTATTCTTGTTTATACTACTACTATTGTTCCAGTGGTTACCCCAACTGACACCCCTATCATCGAGTCGACCGAGACTCAGGGCAAAGGCATTTTGGTTGAACCTGTCTGGATGAAGGCGCAACTAGTATCTATCCCAGAGGCTTCCAAGAAGGAGATGGAAGAAATTTTGAAAATTATAAAGAGAAGCGACTACAATGTAGTCGAACAGCTAGGGTAGACCCCTTCACAGATTTCTATACTGGCTTTATTGTTGTGCTCCAAAGCTCATGCGAAGGCCTTGGTGAAATTTCATAAAACTGCCCATGTGCCACAGGAAACCTCTGTTGACCAATTTGAAGATTGTGTATCCAGTTTGACCGCTGATAATGGTTTGGGCTTTTCTGATGCTGATCTTACACCTAGAGGGAGGAAACACAATAAGGCGTTGCATGTATCTTTCGAATGCAGAGGCACTACTTTGGCCCATGTCCTGGTAGATATTGGTTCATCTTTGAATGTGCTGCC